GTGGTCCATAATTCCTACTTTTCATTTCATGACATAATGCAACCCCCCATACAAGGCCGTCGTTGAATAACTGTCCTCATGTTCTAGTTCATTGACCCCATTGGTCATGACTTCTCGTTGGAACTTCGAGAATCATCTCTTGAAGCAAGTTACTGGTGAGCACTGAACGGCAGTTCCATTTCATGGTTTTCTCTAAACCATTATCTCAATGGCAACAGGCTAAAAGCTGAACCTGTGGGCCCTGGGTTGGAACCCTGATGGGGTCCTGGGTGCGCACTACTGAGGATTCCCGTACTAGGACGAGACAGCTGTCCAATGCTCCCACTTATCTCTCTTAATTTTCCACGTAATATTTTCCGATATTACCTCATTTAATCTTTGCAATAACCACAGTATTTAACAAAAATCATACATTCATTGAATATTAATCAAGTTGTCGTATTTATATGTATGCTTTGTTTATTTATTAGTTCCACCATGTTTTCACTCCTTTTTGTAAGCCAGATGCATGTTATGAACGGTCTAAAAATCTTAGGGAACCTCTTCTCGTCATCATTCAACTTTTGTGTCTCTAACTGGAAATATCATTGTAACTGTAACTATCATTATTGCTATATTTATCATCCATTGGTTAAATGTAAATTTACTCACGGACTGCAGTCTTCAAATATTATTGATTTTTTGCCCACGACCTCACCAGGGATCGGATCTAGGACTTTCAGGTTATGTGGCCAGCACGTTACTGTTGAGCCACTTGGTCGGCATGCAATGGTCCATATTTCCTACTCTTGTCAGTCCACGATATAGCGCAACCTCCATCCAATTCCGTGGTTGAGTAACTGTCCCCAAGTCCAACGGGGTTGACCCCACCGGTCATGACTTCTCAGAACTTCGGGAATTACATCTTGAAACAAGTCACTAATGAACTCTGGATAGTAATTAAGTTTGCAGTTTTGTGGGGATTTATTTATTGATTTCAATTCTGTATTCATGATGGACTGACATCAGTTGGAGAATCATTGGAAACCTGAGAGCGCTGGACAACTGTTTCGTCCTATTATCGAACTCCTCAAAAGTGTACTGCCATGAACCCGCCAGAGATGGTACACACAGCCTCCGAGTTCTGCAGCCAGCACTGGCATCATCATTGAGTTCATTGAAAAGCGGCGTCTCTTCGCCGAATTCTTTATTTTAAGGATATGCTTATCAATAATAATAATTTCGAACATGTATATATCACTTCCTTATAAGTTACTTCTTTTTAACCTTACTGTGATGGTAAATCATCGATCCTTTCAGTTGGTAGAGCACCATGCAGGAAACTCAGTGGTTGCTGGTTTGAATTCGGCCGCCGTCCAAATTTCCTTTTCAACTTCAATCATCACCCGGTATATTTTTCATATATCGACTTTTTACTAGTTTTCTTTAGCTGAATTATTTATTTGTTACAAGATAGTTTTAACACCATAGTCATTTCGTGCATACATATTATATATAGCTTTATTTAGTTTGTATGTATGTAATTTTTATTTTTTAGTTAACTGGGTGGCTGGCATTAAGTTTTCGCATTTGTACTTTGGTTATTCATTTCTTTATTTCAGTATTCTCTTTTTTTCAATGAGATTCACGTAATATAAGTGACCATTTTTATTGTCATTATCTATCATCAGTAGTGGATCTATGGCTTATTCGTTTAGGGAGTTGTCTTTCAACCAAATGGGTCATGGGTTTCGAACTGTGTCCCATCTACCGATGTCTTAGCAACCAGGTAGTATCACTAGCCTTCACACTGGCACAGTTACTGTGGTTCGTTGTCTACTGCATGTAAGTGGACAAGTTGGCTGAGTATGCTACGATTCGATCAACAGTAAAGATGATGTGTATTCTATCTCAATGACTTTCGCTTTGATTACCTTTACCCATTATTATATGTTTGGTGTTTATAGAACTCCTATATCGTTTTCTTTGGATAACTTTTCAGTTTATGGATTTTGTTTATAAACAAAATTCACTCCATTGACTAACGACACACACTTTCGCTTACCTTTGTTACTTCTTATTTTCACATTGTTATGCTTAGTATGAACATCTAGTTTTAGGATAATAATATTTGAACATGTGGTATTGACGGTAATTTTCTAATCGTAAGTTTGTCAGGTGATTTGTCGCATTACTATTTTGAAGTTATAACGTAAATTGTTATTAAAATGGGTTTTTCTTGATAGGGGGTGGGGAACTTATTAATTTCACGAAAGTTTTCTTCGTGAATTGAGATCAGTTGCAGTTTCACTGAAAACCATCTAGGAAATCAAGGCCGCACAGTGAACTGACAGGAGTAATTAAAGTTGGCGATTGAATTGTAATAAACTGGTTGCATGATGACATGCTTGCTGTGAACACTGCGGTACTGGGTTTGATGTCTCAGAATCGTGGATGGACACTGCTGATGAGTCCAACAATAGGACGAAACAAGTATCCGGTAATCCCAGGTTTCCGCAACTTGTTTCAATCTGAATTCAATCACTCAACGTACTAGAGCATTCAAACTAAATACAGCTTAGTGTTTGGAACATAAACTAGGTATAGTTTCGATATTGTAGCTTGTGAATCTCCGTTGTTGGTTGGAACGAATCGATCGCCCAATATTGGCTAATAGACTCTTGTACAGATGCCTCGATATTGCCGGTATTCTCACTCCTGATATTAATGATTGGTAGTGGCTAGCAGTGGAATCCAGGGTGCGCATCTCATCCTGTTTAGGACTCATCAGCTATACATACCTGCCTCCTAGTGAGTGTTGTTGTCCTTACTAAGACTCGAACTGCAGAAGGTCTTCTCTCTCCCTCTCTTATTGTATAAACACAAATCGTTTTATTTTTTTCAATTACTTGAACCGGAGTTTTTGGGGAAACATTCTAATTTATAATCCAACAGTTGATAATTGAGTGTTATCATTAATGAACCAAATTAGGCGTCTAACAATAGTACCTACTCATTGCAAATACACTTTTGTAATTATCCGTATACTTATTCTAGCATTACCTTCAAGTAATAAGAAGTTAGTGTACTCGTGTATCCTTTTCACTTTAAAAGAAGCACAAATGTGATACAGATTGTTTCACCTATTTCTCAACTCTTCTCCAACTCGTGACCGATCACACTGTTAGACACAATATTCGTTTTAGTTACACTAACGTAAAGAGGCTTTTATGGTTTATTGCTACAGTTCAAATTTAAGAAGACGATGAACTTCGTGGGAAGTTACTTTTCAGTTCACAGATTGACAGTAACTCCTGATAGTGCAGTATGTTGCTATTATGCGAAAGCTTTTGAGTACCAGTCATGAGTTAGGTTTAGAAGTAAGGTTTATGACTTGCAGATAATTGCCAACTAAGATAAAACTCCGAGTTTAATCAGATCTTCCTATCTGTTATCTTCTAACACTTGATATCAATTTCAAAATGACTGGTATGTTTTACACTTCACAATTCAAAATTTATTTCTAAACTAGTCTGCATCATTGATTTATGTTTTTCTTCCAGTGTTCAATCATTAGATACCTATACTACTTCGTACAAATGCAAAGTCTTATTGTTCTATTGCCTGATCAGCTAAATCCAAGAGGCATTATTACTGATGCTGAGAAAATTTCAAACTGCCCTATTAAAATTCAAGTATACTGTGTTCGATAATGTACATTAGACCGTTGTACTGTTTATTCAGTGAGTACTGTCACGATAATCCAGATGTTATTCAAAAGTTCTATTGTCATCCACTAGGTTCATCAGTTCGAATTAGTTTAGTACGCATTCTGTGTGTCAGATAACTGATCCATTAGCTTTCCAGCACTAAATCAGATTGATCAGATGTCATCTTTACTTACAAACTATTCATTGTAGAGAGTATTGTTTTCAAGGGTAGAAAAAGTAAGATTTAATAGGAGATTATTTGCAGTGAAAAAATGCTTTTATTGAATATCATTTATGATTAAATGGATATCAGCTGAAACGGTCAACAAAACATTTTAAAGTTTTCCCTCTTGATGGATTGACTTCACCTTGATAGTTTATCCCTCAGTGTTTAATGAATCTAGAATGCATTGCTCTCAGTACTGGGCTTGGAACCAGTTGATTTGAGCTGTGTTCCATACACCGAGGTCTGGGTAGTCAGCTAGTAACTTTACATAGATTAATCAAATGAGAGTAACCACTCGTATGTTATCTTTTTTTCAGTGGTAGTAGAATGCTATTGGTCATTTTGAAATGTGGCTACCAGGCTAAGAGACTTACAATCACAATTCACTTTGGTTGATGTTAAATGGTTGGAAGCGATTAATAAGAATCCTTGGGCCTAGATGTCGTGAATTCGATCAGCTCTTAGGACTGAACTACGTGAAATTGGTTATCTTCAGCCATCAATTGATTTGCCCAACCTAGTCCTACAGGTAGTCAGTCGCAGGCTGAATAATTCAGTGGTATCGTCACTGAATACAACACTAGACGACACGGGTTCGAATCCCAGAGGTGACATCACTTCTCTTGAAGCTGCATATACGCCTTGCTGATGAGTGTCAACAAGCACGAAACCCAGGTCGGGTAGGCCTTCCTGTCAATTGACTTCAACCGTCTAACAGGTAGTAACTTTGGCTATCACGCAATAGGTGTGTGACTCACCATGTACTGTGCGAACGTTCACATGTTTGCTGAGTGAATTCCAACACCTTTTTTCTGACTCGTTCATTGCGTATCATTTGGTTCCCATTATTTTTTAGAAATGTAATAACTTGTATCCTACTGCAGCCATACATCAGTCTTTTAATTTACTAATTAGACTCTGCAAGCGTTTACCTAGAGCCCTTTACATTGGTGTATATCTTTAATCATCTTTAACTATGTAGATAGCTATTCATGCTATCCTACATTTAACTCGTTTTCCACATCTTTACGTTTTGTCTTTATGGAAAATTGTACTTGTTTGTTGTATGTCTATGTATAAAACAGCCCGCTGGCAATACTGTCTCATCAGCTGAATTCAATAATCGAGTTTTATTACAACGTTATTGGGCGTCATACAAAATGTTGTTCAAATGTCAACCCATCAGTTATATCCGGTAAGTAATTTCATAATTACTTTTTGTAATGCCTTCGTTTAATCCCTTAATTTTCGTTTCTTTTGCAGTCAATAAGTGATAGTTTTTTAATCTGTTGATTTTCTCATTGCAATGATGTTGAGGTTGACTGACAAAATCAACGTAGAACCTCGCACACTGGTGCATCGACTCAAGTTGCCACACTTAACAGTAGTATACAAAGATGACAAAGTAGTGTGAGAGAATAAACAATCTGAAGATAATGGATAGTGCGAATATTCAAGCTTCAGAAAACATCAAGGAGTGAATACATCTTCGCTATCGTCACTGATTTTCAGCCATATCACTGACAGTCCTCAACTACTGATTCCTTCCGTCTTGGGGACTCCAACCAGGCAGTCTACATCGCCACACACGACTCAGACCAACAGTAATAGACTTCATGGACTGGTACCAGCTCTTGATCTGGTCACCCTGAACCCTCTTCCAACCTAATCGAACTTCCCCTATCATGGCACTTCGTCGTAGATGTTGGCTTGGCATGCTGAGTACATATCCAAGCCATCATAGTCGATGAAGATTGACAACCTCATCAACCGACCTATCTTGCCTAGTACCTTTCGCCTGACCTCAACATTGTTCACATGGTGATTTCACCAAACGCGAGCAATGCTAGGAAGACATTTGTGATTTAAACTCTGTAATCGCTCCATGTTTTCTGCAGCGCAATATAGCCGTTTAGATTCCCATACATTGTACTGTACTAATTTTTAATGAAGTTACCTGTACTCAATTTTAAGTGTTCTGTATATCCGAGATCTAATCTTATCACTGATATACTGGGACTGTTGCACAAACTCGAAGGTCTACAGGCGACAACTAACAACTTGACAGAAGAGGCAGCGAAAACGGGACTTCAAATGAATGTAGAGAAGACAGAGGTGATATAGATACCCAACAAACAACAACAGCATCAACAACAAGCACCAATCACCATCAACAGGAGAAACTTGAAGTAGTCTCTTTCACCTACCCACCTAACTAGGCAGCATCAATCCAACTACAGGCGGCAGAGACGAGGATGTCAAAACCAGGATTGGAAAAGCAAGAGAGACCTTTATCAATCTGAAATCAGCGTGGAAATCTACTGCACTCATCATACAGAACAAGATCTGGATTTTCAATACCAATCCAGTCAGGTCAGTGCTGCTATATGGTTCAGAAACTTGGCGTGTCACGAAAAGTATTTCAACAAACTACAGACATTCATCAACAGCTGCCGTCTACGCTCACTCCATAATGAAGATCAGATGGCCAGAAAGAATAAGCAACAAGGAACTCTGGCTGGCTGGCTGGCAATGAACCAACAAGAAACCTATCGCCCAAGAAATATGCAGAATAAAGTGGAGATGGATTTGATTGAGCATACAGTGAGAAGGCCGACTGGGGACATCACGCGCCAGCCCCTCGAGTGGAATCTGAAGGGGAAACGACGAGTTGGGCGTCCCAGCTGAGGGTGACATGAAGATCATGTGAGGAAGAAATGAAAGCTTGTGATCAGTTGTGGCGTCAGGTTCAAAAGACTGCAGAGGACAGGGTGCAATGGAGGCGTGCTACTGAAACCCTATGTTCCATTAGGAACCCAAGAGAAAAATAATAAATAATAATAGTGCTGAAACAAGATGAGTGATATTTCCTATTGTTGGTTTAAGCCACATTGGAACATGTAGGATCCCTGTTTGGTGGTTACAAGGTAGCTAAAATAGTTCGTCTGGAAATTTAAGTCATGATTCAAAGTTGGCCTGAATGAAAGATGCATTCGTAAATTATCTTAATTTCAAGTACAATAACATACGTTTTTATTCCCTTCATCTTTTTGTCTGCTAGCTGTTTACAGCAGATTATATTATATCCCTTTCCTTATCTCTCCTAATTTTAACCTCCTGTTTTTTCTTGATGTGAAGTATAGCGACTTTTTATCTGTGTCATCAATGGTAACTATGGTTGATACTTTAAACGGAATCATGCATTCAGTTTTGTGGAGATTTCAAAGAACAAACTTATCATCCTTCTGTTCTGTGTGAACTAAAACAAATTTCATTTGTTTCAACCTCCTACTATGATTCCTTTTGAAGCTGGGAATTTACACATATGAAGTTGCTTACATAAATTTGACGGACGAAAGTTATAGGTATAATGTTGTTATTTGTAGTTACCCTGTCTCTGATTGAACCGAATTGATCGGTTTCTATTGGCCTGGATATTGCCTGTATTTCATTTTTATATAATTAATGGTATTGGGCATCTCGAGGTATCCGCGCAGAAGCTCATATGCCAACAGAGACTGATCAATTCGGTCGAATCATCGATGTGAGAATATGAGTAACAGTATATAAACCATACCCGTCTCACAAGAAGTGGCTATCGTGACAGTTGGCCTATTGAATAACACTCTGATGTTTAAAGCAATCAGTCTCGGGTTTGATTCCTAGTGGAAAGGACATCGCTTACTAGGAGGCAAGTACATCCAACTGACGTGTCCTAAATAGAATGAAACGCGTATCCTGCATTCCACTGCTAGCCATTATCCATCATTAGCGATATATATAGTTAAGTAACATTATAAGAGTGCATACGTGAGAGATTTGTTCATTGTTGATAGAATCAATTTATTATAAGCATTTTTTATAATAAATATTTACAATAAATGTACGAGTATATTTAATGTAATCCCAGCGTAACCAAAACAAGATATATTCTGAACGTTCCACTGCGTAAGCAACAGCTTCTGAAGCAGATTATACAAGTTTTTATTAACACCAAAATACATATTCAAATTGTTCATCAAATATTTAATGTATGTAGGTTATTGGTTAGATGGCTTATTGTTCAAACTGAACAGTTATGATAGTCACTATATGTTTATATGTATCGACGAAAAATGTAGGCCAGTCAACGTGTTTTTGTTAATGTATTTTGTAGAATATGTTGTTTCCTGTACTTCTATGAGAACACTAGTTTACTTATGAATAGTCAGTAATTGTCATTGTTATTGATGCTTCAATTCAAGGTCATCAATAATAGCTTTATCGGATTAATGTTTACCAAATAGATATCAAATGGTCTATGCCATCTCTTCTTTCTATTGCATTTTATATTAAAATATGTAGGGCTTCACAATGTTATCTTTCTTTATGTGAATGGAAACCCTTTCCTAACATATCTATCTTATTAGGACATTCGTAACAACTATGGTCTGGATGTTTATGATAGTTAAGAAACTTTGGAATCAATATCGCTTCAAAAATTTATTCTTTACTAGTTTTGGTATTTTTCCAATAGTTATATTGACAAGGGTAGAAAATCAATTAAAATAGTTCTCATTTTGACTATCTGAAATAGCCGTCGTTCGACAGACTAGTATTTATACTTGGTGATGATTGAAGGTGAAATGAAAGTTTTGACCACAGCGGATTTGAACCAGCGACCACCGGATTTCCGACCCGGTACTCTACCAAGCTAAGGTGAGCTATGAGACTCGACTGCTGGTAGTCGGGCAAAACTCCTGGTTACTGAACGGAATTCAAAATCTGGTCAACAGTTGGGTTTCGTAGCTCAGCTGGTAAGCGACCAGTAGGAAACCCGGTGGTCGCTTGTTCAAATCTCATTGTGGCCCAAATTTTCATTACACTTTCGATCATCAACCAGTTCTCTTCAAAGACCCATGTTTTAAAGCGAACATGAAATCGTCAGTATGCACTTTTCGAATCTTTGATGCTTTTTAGCAGAAAGAGAAAGCTAATTCATTCATTGACTTCTGGAATTAAACGGATCTGTATAGAAGACATGATTTATACTGAAATAAAACAACTCTGGCAAGTACTGATTCGGGATGACTACTGCTCTACTTTCATCAAAAAGAACATGGAACTATAGTGCAATGCCTAACAGCTTCCTATAGTTTCAAAGAAGAGTCTGTATATGAGTGTCGATTTCGTTGGTGATGACACAACCACAGAAATTAAGCAGAAACCAACCTAGATTTAGAAAGAAACTTTCATTTTGTGTTCCGAATTTCCTCTGTTCGACAGTTGACACTGAATGTATTGAGGATCAGTTGGTATTTTGGGCATTCCAAGTTTACTTATTGGTATGTTATTATCTTGTGTGGTCGTCAGAATGTCAGTGTAAGTCAGTTAATACTTCAAAAATTAAATATTTGTTTAATTCTGTTCATAGAACTCCATCGGAATTATCTCTTAAGATTGTCTACAAAGTCAAACCAAATAGTTCTGAATGCACCTTATTCACCAACTTAAAAGCTTGATGATTCCTTCGTTGTGGAAAAAAGTTTACGGTCATAACTTATTTCCTCTTACTTCGATAATTGTTTCATCATTAATCTTTTCATTATGACCTTTGTTTTTTCTTCCCCTTCTTTTCAAGTTTTCATTTTGGTGCTTAATTGTTATATTTTACATCCTTAAAGTAATTCACACCTTATGCTTTTCTTATTACTTTCATCCCCCATAGCTCATTATTTAATATTTTCTGTATTTACACCCAGTTCTTTGTGCACCTTTCTAGCAGTATCCTTTTCGTGATGCAGTCTACTAGCTACTTGTTTTCTATTACCTTAAGTATCATTGTACAGTTCTAGTTGATAGTGTCAAAGGAGACATTTATTCTTCGTTCGAATGCTTACTTTCATTGTAAACAACTGGTGAAATTAAAACTGAATATGCCACGATAACGACTAAATCACATCACTTCTCGATTTGTACACAGTCATAAACAGATAAAAGAGCATGTCTGTGTTTTCTGAACACATTGTTAAGTTCATTATTTGAAATACACCGATTTACAGGTAGAAAACCGATGTTCACATTCTAATTTAAATGGTATTTTTTTAAAGGGATGTTAGCTGGAAGTTGTTAGTAAAGTATTTTTTTCTCTGGTAGGTTACAATAGATGTTCGTTCTGATTTGTTATTAAAGATGTGTCTTCCCTTGTGGTACATG